TTTTGCTACAAAATAAACGATTTATTATAATTATTAAACATATAAACACACATACAAACTTTCACAGCTATAATAAATAAGTAATCCGATATGTTGCTTAATTTGTTCTTCTTTTACGCAACAATAGACTAAATTAACTTAGAGGTTCAATATGTTATTGCTGGGAGATTTATAGATTGGAGAGTGGCATTAAGGATTTTGGTCCACGGCACGTAATCCCCCATGGGAAATTAGTACACTAGTTACACAATAAAGTCATAATGGGATCGACTAAGTGCCTATATAAAATAAGAATTTTCCTATTTATTTTGAGATAAATGCAAAACCATACCAACTCATAAATGAAAAATAGATATTTTCACTAACAGAAAACGTTTAATGTACAAATAAATCCGTTTTTATGTTCATAAATAAACTGAATATTGGTATTTTATTTAGGTCTGTCAAATCTCCGAAACTATAGACGAATGCGAAGATGATTCAAGGGTCGAAACACCACAGAATGGTACGATTGAAGAAATGCAGATTGATAAAATTGAGCGCAGTGAAACAATGGATCTAACTGAAGCGATTGATAAATTTATGTTTATTGTTTATTCTGTAGTTTTTGCTGTTATGCTTGCGTTACATTTTTAAAGGAAATAATATGTAATTGATATTAAGTATCTATTGTGCTATGAATATTATATATGTACATATGTATATATAAGCAAAACCCGCGAAATCAGTTATTGGGGTTTTCCGTTCAAATATTGGGCAGCCTGGATAGCCAGGTGTTAGTTGTATACCTTTGTGCCTTGAAGGGTAATACTCGTAAAGCAGTCGCTCCTGTGTCTGACCTAAGACAATAAGAGTGAAAAGAATGGAGAGTTAAATTTTGTTTCCATTTATTTTCCAATACATAAATGGACTTACAAAGATTGTCCACTGTAACTAAAATCGGTTAGGAATCCTTCATTTATTACCTACTAGCGACTTAGATACATTTTCATTTTTTTGAGAGGAACCTTAATTATTTTTACAATTAAAGTAGCCAAGATACTCCTTATAACTTCAACTATCTGCCAGTGAAAGTCACGTCAGAATCAGTCCAGCCATTTCGGAGATTAGTCGGAACAAACAGACAGGCAGATATATATATATAAAAAAAATATGTGTTTTTCTTAGAAGTATATATAATTTCATATACACTTAGTAAAAAGCTTTTAATTCACCATTACAAAAAGACACTTCGATTTTATTTATCTATTTTTCTATGCATAGTTACAAAACAGCTGATTAAAAACTAGTTTTTCCATCCGCCCGCAACCTATTTTTAATTCCACACCTTTACCCGCTAGGTATTTTTAATTAGGCCACAACTACCTATACTTTAAATCTAGCTTTATATGAGAGTGAATATAGCGAGAATCTCATATTATGTTTAAATCTACGTTGTTTAACTAAATTAAATGAAAATTAGCTGCATTTTAACTCAATCTCTATATTTCCAATACATAAATCAAATAGACTAATAATATAAAAGGTCCTCTGATTTGAAAAAGACCTTTCCCATATTTAGCGGTCATCTTTAAATATTTACGTACAATTGATGGAAAATATAACTAAATAAATATAACTAAAATGAAAATATAGTTATGGTCAACTCCAGAGTCGCAAGTCACTGAATAAACTTAATATAATTAATTATAACAATGTTTTTCTCTAATGGAATCTTTTTCCATCTCACTGATCACTTTGAAGTTTTAATGGCTACGATGAACTAGCACCATCAAAGTAAAGTTGAATTATAGCTTTAAGCTTAGTCTGTAAGGCTTTATGTCAGTCATTTTGTACAGATACAATATTTAATAAAGTATAGACCATAATATATTTGTTGTTTCTTTTATATTAAGGAATTTAAGGGTTAAATTTAAAATCTTTGCAATGGACAATATTTTGTGTAAAAAATATAAACAATAGTTATTAATTATAAATTCCGCTTGTGTTCAGCCGTTTTTAACGTCCCACTGCTGGGCACGGGCCTCCTTTTAATTTAATACGAGCGGGATCAGGCCATAGTCCACCACGCTGGCGGACTTCATATGTGTATGCAGTCTTCATATATACGGGCTTCTTCATGATGTTTTCTTTCCCCATAAGATGAACGGTAATCATATTGAAAATGACATTAAAATTTCAGACTCACAACTCTGGTTTTGAACTCGCATCTCTTGGTTTTCCTATCACTCTACTGACAATATCACCTCCAGGTAAATTTCAAAAAAAATCATTAAATTTCTAAGAAATCTATTGTTAACTGTAACACCGACGTGTCCGAGGTCGTTGAGGGATTCTTATTCTTTTTTATATATACTTAAAGATTGATTATTATTAATTTTAAAGAATTTCTTAGTTTTGACATTAGCCATATAGCTATTTAATAGAGAAAATCTAGAAAAACTCTCTACATCATGAACGTAGGTATATAACTCACTGGCATTTCTTAATGAACAACTCTTGAAATTGGTGGTATTTCTGTTAAGTTATAAGACGATCGCCTTTTTATAGATTTTGGTTTTTTGACAATACAATGTTAAAGTACTGCTACGAATGAATGTACATATATTATATACCTCGTAATTGAATATTCGATCTGGTCGAAAACTAAATGCAACATGCTAACTCTTAGTAGAGGCATAGATCTTAAAACCATTCTTATTTAAGCTCTAACATTTTGTAATAAAGTTCAATATAGAATAATTTAAAAAGTTTTGTTTAGTTTAACGGTCAGTATTGTAATTCGATACTAAATCAGTGTTTCGATGTAAATGCGGCTTATCGGATTGTTGTTGTCTTGAATGTAGTAAAAAGTTATGCTTTGGACTTTGGAACCCAAAGTGAAATAATGCTTTTATAAATGCATATTAAGCTATCATGCAAAGCTATTAAACTACGCCTCCCTTAGCCAAAATGATACCGTTTGAGCCTAAGCTCATGTCAACGTGTGTCAATGCTAAAAACTTCTTATAAGACATTAGAGATTACATCTTGTATTATTACCACTACTGGTGACACGAGAGCGAGCATCGAGTGTGACTATAAATGGTCCTGCGCCTACACAGTGGCAAATTATTGTAATACACGACTAACACTAACTACTTGTAATACTAACTAATAAACCCCAAAAATGAGCAAATATGAAAATTTTAAATTACTTATATTAATACTATTCAACTAGCACTGCCCGCGGCTCCGCCCGCGTTTAGATGACCAAAAACCAAATTCTTAGGTTTGACATATTAGTACACTGTAAGCATTGTAGTTTTTTGTATTTTTTCTCAGAAATGAGATATTTTCCCGCGGTAAAAAGTATTCTATATATTGACCCGGATAACAAGCTATTACCATACCAAATTTAATCAAAATCCCTCCAGTGGTTTTCCGTGATGAGGTAACAGACAGACAAAAATTCTAAAAACTATATATTCGGCCTCTGTATCGATAATAATGTCTATTTCAATAAGATTTTCCAAAACATATTTATTGTACAGATTTGGCTTAGTTACAATTTTATTATATGTATAGATGACGTACGTACCTGCCAATGATCAATATCGTATCAGGTAACTTTAAAATAAGTATTTTACTGGAATTCAATAAATAATATGAACTTTCACATATATTCAAATTTTCGCATGACTCAAAACAAACATATTGCATTACATAAATTCTAGACGAAACAATGAATACACAATTTTTAAATAAATCGCTATCTCAGGATAAGATACGTACAATAAATTAAATATTTTTGCTACAATATGACATCGCTGTTATTTATCACACGTCCGCCCCGATAACTACGGCTACACTTCCGGTGGGATTTGCTTTTCAACGGGAATACCACTTCGATATCTATTTACTTCTAACTAGTGACTTACCCTCGCTTCGCTCGGGTGTGTCTCTAGGTACGTTTTAAATATAAATAGTTATTGCGAGTGCACCTAAGAAGATAGACGTATGCTTGATAAAATCTTTTGAGTACTTTTTGCGTATAACGCACAAGAGTAAACAGAGATGTAAACAAATAGACAAACATTTTAATAACTTTTGTTTTGGGGTCTAAATGTTATATTCTGTACATAATACGTTACAGTCATTGTTTTTAAAAAATATTTCATATACAGACTTTGCTAAGATACTGTCTTATGATATGTATAGATAATCACAATATTACTCTTCACATATTTGTGATTCTATAACATTTGACTAAAATTTTGATCTATTCAATCCTAGCAGTAGTTATCTCTAAAAATAGTACATTGATGAACATTATATAAACTTTTTTTTTGGATTCTTTACATTTAATGTAAAATATCTTATTGGGCCTATTAATGATCATCATCCTTCTGATCTCTGTCTATTACAGCCTTTTTTCTACGAATTTGATGAATTAAAAAATCTAAGTTTACAAGAATAATATACTTAATTAACTACAAAGATTTAAAGAAGAAAAATGAAAAATTAAAAACCATTATAATTATTGAAATATGGTTCGTTAAAATCGATTTAGAAAATATTGAATAAAATATATGAATATTATATAGGATGCCTATCTTATTTCCACAGATACTAAACTATTTTTTTTAGAATAATACAAAAATATACGGTCTTATTCTTAGTTTGCAGAAAATGTGTAACGAAAACTGTATATGAAGTCCTTTGAGCTTATATAATGCATGAAACACTTCTTCTGTGCAATAAATCACATCTATAACTTGTAGACGACATTTCATTACGATCACAACAATCACGCTTATAATAAAAATAGTGATAATAATTTGCTCAAACACAAACAAAGGAGGCATTACCATTGAAACGTACATACTGCATTCATGTGTGTCGTATATTTCTGAACTAATAATTCTACTGGATAGTGGCTTTAATTACAACTGTACCGTTTAAAAAGAGAAATATTTTCAATTAAAAACTGCCTTGTATTTCTTTGTTAATCAGTCAAAATGAAGTGGGTTTCTTTATTGTGCATAAATATATGGATTTCTGCAGTACTTGTGTGTGCCGATAACTTTACTTTTACGTACAATAGTAAGTAGTTTAATCTTAATTTTTAAGCAACAATTTTTTTTGCAGTATAAAAAGTATTGTATTGAATGTAAAAATTAATTTGTGAGGAACAAAACGTATGTAAATATGGTTACCTAAAAAACTGTAAAGAGGAATGTTAAAAAAGGAATATTATGAGTTTTATTACCATGTACTTTTTTTATTTAATTAAAAACATGAAATATATTTCTGAAAACCCAGATAAGAATAGCTTAATATGTTATGTCAAAATAAATCAACAGTCTCCCTCATTTTCTTTGTTCAGAAATCTTCTTTTCAAGTTGGTGGTAATATAAAATGCCTCCGTGGTGTAGTGGCTAGCATGTACGGCTGCACACCCGGAGGTCCTGGGTTCGAGTCCCGGGTCGAGCCAAGTTTAGTTATTGAGTCTTTCTGTATAAGTAAGCCTCAGTAACAGCCCGGAGTTGGGAAGTTGGCGGTGTTTCACCCCCGTGCCTCGGAGAGCACGTAAAGCCGTCGGTCCTGCGCCTTAACTCTCACTGGTCGTGTCGAACAGTCGTCCCACCGGAATATGAGAGTGACAGGAATAGAGAGTGCACTTGTGTCTGCGCGTACACTTGTGCACTATAATATCTCCTGCGCAGTTGGCTAGTCTCAATGAGATTGGCCGCCGTGGCCGGAATCGGTCGGGAGAACATCATCAATATAAAATAGAAATGAATATTTCACTACCACAAATTGTTAAATATTTATTTATATGCTAAATATTATTAAATCAACGGCTTTGACCACGTTAAAATATCTCGGGATAGCGTAAACTTTCGTAATTTATTATTAGTGTAATTTGTTTAAAATAAGACACTCAAGATGGAAATGAAACCCGAATTTCATTAACAATTTTAAATCGAACTTTTTCAACTGGAAGCTCTCTACAACTTCCAAATCTTGAATCGAACTGTTAACATTTAAATGCTTTTGAACGTTCACTTCATTTCAATTATTCAAAATGGCCTGATCAGTTCCAATGTGCTTAATACGAAAACTTTAGACTTTTACCACATTTACTTTTTATATTAATATATTATCTTTATTAATTATTAATATCTACAAAATAATATGCTGTTGGTTGGTAAGTCCTAACTACGTGAGAACGGTTGCACTGATTTGGTTTTTTTTTTTAATTTTTAAAAGTTTGTAATAGCTGAAATAAAGTTTTAAAGGAGAATAATGTAAAATTTGACCAGAAAATTAGATAATTCTGAAAAAACTGAAATTGATTTTTAGACCTACCCAAAGATTACGTTTGTCTTCTAGCTGATCCAAAGTTGTTAATAGCATATCTGTCTGTTATTTCTAAATAACTATGTAAGTACTCAACATAAAGTTCATAATATTATGGCAATACAAAAACGATCATTAAAAAAATATTATCTTCTTCTATATGACGCAAACGGTTTTAAAGGGAGTTTTTTTTACCTTTTTTGAACTTGATACTGAACATAGAAACAAGAAAAAGGCTAATCGTTCGCTTATTGTTATAACATTATTTATATATCTTTTCATATGTAATATGACTTATAACGATAAATTGTGTATCTTGTCTGTGTTGTTCCTGTCTCTTGTATTCTACTATACATCATTATATATAAGAACAAACAAACATAACTCACTATAGCATTATATATTTCCAGTGGCGATGCAGTGCAAAGAGCATATTTGTAAACATGGTTATTTTTACGAAACGTTTTACTCTGTAAATAATGAGGAGCGCAAAACTATGAAATCAGATCCTAGTATAGTATTTGAGATGCACCTCGCAATACTTGCGGCTAGTAATGGACACATCTTGCTATCTCCTGTTCCTAAACCAGATGCAACAGTTCCTGTATATGAATTTGGTAAGAACTTAAACTAACAATATAAATATTTTTGGATTAAAACCTTTATGATTGAAGTTCAAATATCATATATATTACTACTTTTTACCGCGGGAGATCTCATTCCCTCGGGAAAACACATTATAATACAACCAAAAAAATATTTATGATCATATTACTTGAAACTTAGTATTATTGCTCCTAAATACCATTAAATAAATACGTGTTTTAGCATTTTCCAAATCAGAGCCCCCTTAAATATTTATTTTATTGTATTATTTTGTATTTGTTGTTATAGCGGCAACAGAAACGCATCATCTGTGAAAAATTAAACTGTCTAACTATTAAGGTTTATGAGATACAGTTTGGTGACAGACAGACAGACAGATGAACGGACAGCTGAGTCTTAGTAATAGGGTCCCGTTTCACCCTTTGAGTTCGGAACTCTAAAAACTAACTGTTTCCAAAAAAAAATATTGATAACATAAATGCTCATCTATACATACTAAACAATAAAAATCGGTTGACAAAAACAGAAAAACGCACTTACTGAACTTCTTTCCCTATTTATATAAAGATATTCTTTGTTTGAAAGCTTTAATGCTTGCTATGTACAATAACTTTATAGTAAAAAAACATATTGGATTGCATATGTATTGCAATTATTAATACTTTGTTTACTTTCAGTTGTCGGTGGAGGTGGTAATAAGTTTACCGAGCTTAGAGGAAATTTAAAAAGAAATGCAAGAGCTTCGAAGACAACTGTCGGAATCGTATCTCCTATAGAATTTAGAGCTTTTTACATTAAAATTACTGAAGGTATGCGAATGAAAGTAGCTTTACGAAATTCATTTTTTACAAATACTTTTGAATCATAATACTTTCTTAGATTGCGAGCGAAGCGAGCGTGAGTCGCTTCGCTCGAGTTCGTAACTTTCTTACCATATTTTTAGAAATTATGATTTAATAGCAAAATAGTATCCTATTACAATATCATAAAACAATAAAAGAGTAATAAAACATACTGACAATAGGGTAAAAAAAGTGAACATTATGGTAATTAAATCACTCATCGGAACTCAAACAATAGTTTCCGCTTCCACATTGTCGAACTCATACTGTTATTCTGTGTTATCCTCTGGGAGCTTTTTGTTTTGCCAAAATATCCTAAAGCTTTACTCAGGTACCCACTAAGAAGTTTACTAGGACTATTTTATAACAACTTTATCTATTACCCCACGGGAAATCTTCCCTTTTCTATATAAAGTAACCAATAGAATACAAATAAGTTGTACTTAAATGTTGTTATCAATTTAACTATTTACAAATTACAGAATAACAGATACTGCTTGAATTTGTAACGAGTGCTAAAATATCAAAATCGTGATAATTTTCTTCTTCAGATGGCCTAATTGAATTTGGTCGTGAAGGTGATATTTTGCCAATAATATCATACCAGGATATGTATCCAACAGAGGTACATTATTTCAGTTTTGCTGCATGGAATGGTGTTGAAGCAAAATTTCTTTATGATTGCCCTATACCTTTAACTAACGGATCGAGTGGTAACCAATTTTTTTTTCTAAATATTAACAAATTTTAACCAATTTATTCTTTTAAAGAAAATAATTTAAAAATTAACTATATTCTACATCATTACAGAATTTTATGAAAAATGAACGGGAAAAAATACAATATTTTGTATTAAAGATTGACGACACGTTTGACTTAGTGTGCTTACTTGCTGTGCTAGCAGTCGCGGGTTCGAATCCCGCTGGGGGCATTCAATTGTCTGATGAGCATGAATGTTTGTACTCCAATCATAGGAGTTTATATTTATAATTTATATGCATATAAAGTTATATATTTGTATTTTATCAACTATCTAGATGGTGATGTGTTAATGGCCAACATATTTATTATGGTTAAAAAGTTTTTGTTTAATCGTTTGTTTAATTGAATATGCAGTAACTCCAAGTTCACAAGCAGTTGAACCACAGCTTTTAAACTCGGACAAATTAAGGAGAAGTTTATTATATAATAAAAATCCGTACGTCCCGCCGAGACAAAAGTTACCTGTAGATATTGGAGTAAAAATAACAAGTGTTTATTACAACGCATTTGATGCTAAGCTTACTACTGGTATATCTTTAGTTAGAGTAAGTACTAAATAATAATAAGTTATAATCAAAATTAAATACCTAGGTTCGAAAAAAAAGGTCATGGTTACGACTTCTGTAAAGATTTATTTTAGTATCTTCAAATCGGACAAATTACTTTTAATGTCCAAAGAAAGTTACAACACATAAGAATGTGATTTTAAATAATTTTATTTAAAAAATGTAATATCAATAATGTGCTAAATGGAAATCGAAGCAAATACCATTTTCAATACAAATCACCCTATTTGAGAAGACTAAGTAATTGAAGTTAATCGGATGAATATATTGTGACATGAATAAAAATTTCCATGTCTATACATTTTCACCATGCTTAAAGTACATTAGGAGAAGAGATAGTAGTCAATACTCAGTATACTGGTGTGTTCATTTACGCTTATTTGTATGTAGGGGATAACAAAATAAATTGAAAAGTGGTGATATTATGAAATTTGTCTAAGATCCAAAGTCGAATCGACCTATACGCATCTGTTTATGAAATTAATTTTTTTGTTAACCATTTATTTTAAAAAAATCATCCATTTCTAATTCTTTTATGCAATAATTATATTATCAGATAACAAAAATTCTATAATTTTATAGAGATGGACGGACGATAGCATGGCGTGGAATCCTAGTAAATTCAATGGGACGACCTATATTACACTTCGGCAAGGGGAAATTTGGAGTCCAACGCTATCAGTTTTTAAGTATGTTCTGTTGTATCCCTCACTATCATTATCAGTAATTTATATCAATATCAAAAAATTCCCCGTGCCTCGGAGAGCACGTAAAGCCGTCGGTCCTGCGCCTTAACTCTCACTGGTCGTGTCGAGCAGTCGTCCCACCGGAGTATGAGAGTGACAGGAATAGAGAGTGCACTTGTGTTTGCGCGTACACTTGAGCACTATAATATCTCCTGCGCAGTTGGCTAGTCTCAATGAGATTGGCCGCCGTGGCCGGAATCGGTCAGGAGAACATCATATCAGTAATTAAATATTTTTTATTGTATCATAAAGTTTGTAATATTGTTCATTAACATAATGTACTATAATTGATAATGACTTAATGCATTCATTGATATGATTATTAAAATATTCTTCGACAATTTTGGATCTTTACTTAAAGTGAATTTAAAGAAAAAAATTAAGATACCATATTTTTTTTTTTTTTAATTCGCGTCTTAACTCTTATCGTTCGTGTCGAAGTATCGTCCTATTGGGCTTTCAGAGGAAAAGTAATATAGAATGCAATTGTCACTGCACGTACACTTGTGCACTATAATATCTACTGCGCGTCTTGCTAGTCTCAGTAAGATTGGTCGCCATGGCCGAAATCGATCAGGAATATATAATATTTCTAATCTATATTAATATTATAAAGAGGTAGTTTGTGAGTTTGTGACGGTGTAGGGCGTAACCTCTGCCCGGGGGAGAAGCCAACTCCTACCGGGCGCGTCCCCAGGTGGCGGATAGGGGAATGCCACCCGCTTAGGGCGGCGGGTGGTAAGGGAGAAATCCGGCGCGGACCAAATGGCTTGGATGGGGCCGCTCGTCTAGGCCTCGAGCCGAAGACGTTGCGGCCACCGGTGGTGGGACAGCTTGGTCCCACAACCGGATGATGGGTGCCGGTTGCGGGACTGTGGTCGCAGGCCCACATCCGGCGGAGGGGTAGGCCGCGGCGGGAGAGGAGTGCCGGTATTTCGGTGCGCCGTTCTCCCTACCTTCCGCGGCCTAGACAGGGCCGCCACCGTTTGATGGCGCGGTGGGGCTGCAGGGGAAGAGGAGTGTCGGTGTTTCGTTGCCGCTCTCCCTGTCCTCTGCAGCCGCTTGGAGGTGGCCCACTTCGGTGGGCGGAGGTTCGGTTTTATGGAGCTGCTCCGGGTACCTCTCTGGTGTAGCAGAGTTGACTGTGGAGCAGCCCCATCGGTGTGGTGGTCAGCCGTTGGCGGACCTGCCGCCGGGGCGCCGTAGTAGTTATGCGCAAGCGATCCTGCGGCGTCCCATTAAGGCGGAGGGGAGGGGAATGTCGGGTTTTAGTGGGTAGTACCGGCTCTTATAGCCGGTGAGCCCCACATCGCCACCTGGGGTATCAGGTGGTATGCGTAAATGCATTTCCCGACATAAAAAAAAAAGGGCGTAACCTCTGGATCTACTTAATCGATTTAGATGAAAGGTAAGAAGATAGTTTGAGACCCTGAGAAGGACATAGAATACTTTATCCCGGAAACCATCGCTTAAGGGGGTGATAATGGGGATGAAAGTTTGTATGGGGAATCAAGCTAGGGATAAACCCGAGCGAAGCGAGGGTGAGTCACTAGTATGTAAATAAACTATGAATTTATGTATTAATGATAAAACTTTAATTATTTTTTATACTTTTGACTACAGCTCAGACAGCATCGAACAATTAAACTCGAAAAATCCAGAGTTGATCAACATGGTCAATAGCGGTGAAGCCACACTCCACATGCAGACTACAGTCAATACTTGGTGTTTTGACATTTTAAACACGATGACAAAGTAAGTTCGGTAAATATTAGTATATTTATGATCAGAATTACTTGAAACTCGGTATAAATGCTCTTCACTACAATTAAATAAATACGTGTTTTAGCATATTTCGAAATTCATCCCATAAAGGGCATAAGGGTAAAATAGCGGATGAAAGTTTGTATGAAACCTACTATTTTAGAGATTTTTTTGTAGTTTTAGCGCAAGCGAAGCCGCGGGTTCTGCTATATATTATACGTACATAATTTCAGATGTCAACATAATTTAATAATGACAATTTAAGTGTAAAAACAGTCTCACAATATAATATTATTATCATAGATAAAACCCTCAATTGAAAAATATTTCTTTCACACTTTTTTTAAAATAAGTTAAGTAAACATAGTATGGAAAGACATTTACAATTTACATTACTCTAATTCTCAAGGGCTCATGGCTCAAAGTAAAGAAATATTCGTATCATACATAATATGTACGTTAATTTAGATAGAGCGAGCATCAAAGAAGTCAATTTGTTTCTAAACCACGCTTAAGTTACAGCATAAAAAAATATAAAGCTTATTTTCATAAACAATAATTGTCCATCATAAGAAATTATACTGCATTATTGAATCCATTCTATTGTATTATTACATTCGTAATAAATATTGTGGTTTTACAAGGAATTAGGTACTTCTCGTATTTTTACATATAATGTATAAATATGAATATGTAGGGACATCACACCACCATCTAGTTCCATGGTACAGCACCATCTAGTTCCATGGTAAGCTACGAGGCTTCTGTTATAGATACCAGATAGTTAATACACTACACACATATAACCTTCAATACATACATATTATAAGTATAAACACCCATGACTGGAGTACAAACATTAGTTAAACATAATTAGAAATAGAACCTCGTCCTCCTCCTCGTAGTTTAATAAACTTTCATTTCTATAGTCAACTGTTTGCTAATTTCATTTATTTAAACGTTCCTGTTTTGATAAAATAGATGGCCTCGAGATGAATACGATTGTACAATAGTCCTAGAGCCTTGGGAAGTACACGAACACATTCTCCTACGAAAACTCGATCCAAGCGATGATGTGATGAAAATCGTAAGTTTATATTATTTTACTAATAATGCGTGACATTTATTTGATAAATAGTGAATTAACTGCCTCGGTGGTGTAGTGGCTAGCATGTACGGCTGCACACCCGGAGGTCCTGGGTTCGAGACTCAGGTCGGGCCAAGTTTAGTTATTGAGTCTTTCTGTATAGTAAGTTTCAGTAACAGCCCGGAGTTGGAAAATTGGCGGTGTTTTACCCCCGTGCCTCGGAGAGCACGTAAAGCCGTCGGTCCTGCGCCTTAACTCTCACCGGCCGTGTCGAGCAGTCGTCCCACCGAAGTATGAGAGCGACAGGAATAGAGAGTGCACTTGTGTCTGCGCGTACACTTGTGCACTATAATATCTCCTGCGCAGTTGGTTAGTCTCAATGAGACTGGCCGCCGTGGCCGGAAACGGTCTGGAGAACATCATAGTTAATTGAAATAAAATATCTTACATAAAAACACTATTTATCTGTACATTTCATTTCCAGTTTACAAATATAGATGAAGTCATACAAAATGAATGGGAGGTGGAAGCAACGCAATATGTTTTAAATTCATCTTCCTGGAATAGTCTGTACTCATACAACAACACACAAAAAAGTGATAGGTTCATTATTAACATAAACCTGAAACGACGAGCTACCGCGTATAACATTGTTTTTTATACGCCCTTATTAGGTAAAGTGATAAATTTATGATTTTTTTATTCATTAAGTGTTTGTTTTTGTTATATTTGTTTTAAAATAAAACTATCTTTTCGGGTTTATTTTGATTTTTGGTTCCCGACGTTTCAAATGTTTTATAGCAATCATGGTCACGGAAGAGTTTCTCCCGTGATCACAATATTTAATTAATATGGTGTATATTAATGCCGTGTACAAGAATCGAATCTACAAAGAGAAAACATACAAAATATAAAGAAAGAGAAGAGAACTCAACATCTCACGAAGTCGAAAGTACCAAATAAAACACAAACTTTTCTGAATCAGAATGTTTTACTTAAATTGTTATTATTAAATAGATTATTGTAAATGAAACCGTTTATTGATATATTTTATTTCAGCTCTCGTAACATTTGTATTATTATCATTTTGGAGTGAGCCTTTAAGTATGAAGAGAGTTTGGTTTTACGCTTATTGCACTGTTATTATATGTATGGGAATGTGCTACATCGACTATTTGATACCTTGCCACTCAGTTCCTACTATATGTAAGTACATAATATTATTTATATTTAGTATAAAACTACAGGTTAGAGAAACGCTGTTAAAAATAGGTCTTATTGTTCAGTAATATGTAATTCAACAGCACCCCACCAGTAGTAGCGTTTCATTAGAGTAAGAAATTTTAAAATCTGTAAAATATATTCAATACATATAATAGCCATTCAGATTCACATATTAAGGAATCGATCTATAATATTTTAATTAAAATTAAATTGAATATGTCTATTAAAATTATATGAGACTACCTTCGTCACCTAGAAATTTGTGAATATAAATAAAAAAAAACTATGCGAATGAAACACACCGTACCTACTTTTTTTTAAGTTGGTTAGCAAATCAACGCGTAGTCCACGCTAACATGTACGATATTTAAAATTAAAAGTAAAATTATACTTAAGTACCATTAGAATACACTAACATAATGTCTTGCTTACAAATTTGAAATTATATTATCCATTAGGTCTTTATATAAGGAAAAAATACAAACAGATAAATGGTTCAAGTTTGGATCGGACCAAAAATTAAATTTTATGCTAAGCTCAACGTTAGGAAGTTGGTGGTGTCACATCCCCAGCCCTCGCTGCTACACTGAAGTCGAATTGTTGCTCCATCCTGAAGATCCCATTATGCTGTTCAAAGCAATACAAATTACAAAGTGCACTTAGAATTATACTTATGCACTATATTATATTCCGTGCAGGTGGCTAGGTTTAGACTTCTTATATTTTAAATCCCTATAGCGTTACCTGATGTAAATATCCATTAATTCTTCTTATTAAAAATAAAGATTTTTTTACTAAACTACCTGTCAAATTTTAAGTTTGTAGTTTTTATACCGTCTGAGATCTCATGACTAGTGAGTGAGTGGTATTTTGCTTTCATATAATATACAAGTAATATGAAAAAAATTGAATATATACTGTGTACAAATGAAAAATTCAAATCAAAACTTACTACATTGGCCTCTAAATAACTTTTATTTCAGTAATTCTGTACATGGTTGTATTGGGAGCAGTGTTACTGGCTCTTATTATCCAGGTAGCACTAATGACGTCAATAGCTAAAAGCTTGTGCAAGACACCCGCAATTCAGAACATATTGACTGCCCAATGGTTTCGAAGTTTGTTCTGCTTGCCGCCTTTGAAGGTATTTTTGTTGTTTTTATTATAATCCTTAGTAAAAAAACTAGAGACTCGCGCTCGCTTCATTTAAGCGTGTCGCTAGATTCCTATGTATTACTCCAGGAGTAAAATTAGTCTATCAGTGATATACTAAATTTTTTTCAAAATTTTCGAATCTTTTCAGTGTGATGGAGTAATAGGTATCTATATCTATCAGCTATCTTCTATCAGCTATCTATCAGCTATCTGCTATTGGTCTATAAATTATAAAATGTAGAGGAAGTTAACGGTGCTCATAATACGGGTTTTTCTAGTACGAGTTCCTAAGAACTCTTTCTGGATATTTTTAGATAATGTCCTTAGCAAAACAGGTGTGCAAAGAGTATATTTTTGTAACCTGATATTTTGCTACAAAATAAACGATTTATTATTATTATTAAACATATAAACACACATACAAACTTTCACAGCTATAATAAATAAGTAATCCGATATGTTGCTTAATTTGTTCTTCTTTTACGCAACAATAGACTAAATTAACTTAGAGGTTCAATATGTTATTGCTGGGAGATTTATAGATTGGAGAGTGGCATTAAGGATTTTGGTCCACGGCACGTAATCCCCCATGGGAACTTAGTACACTAGTTACACAATAAAGTCATAATGTGATCGACTAAGTGCCTACATAAAATAAGAATTTTCCTATATACATGTGTATTAAGAGATGAATGCAAAATCATAACAACTCATAAATGAAAAATAGATATTTTTTTAACAGAAATCGTTTAATGTACAAATAAATCCATTTTTATGATCATAAATAAACTGAATATTGGTATTTTATTTAGGTCTGTCAAATCTACGAAACTATAGACGAATGCTACGAAGATGATTCAAGGGTCGAAACACCACGGAATGGTACGATTGAAGAAATGCAGAGTGATAAAACTGAGCGCAGTGAAACAATGGATCTGGCTGAAGCGATTGATAAATTTATGTTTATTGTTTATTCTGTAGTTTTTGCTGTTATGCTTGCGTTACATTTTTAAAGGAAATTATATGTAATTGATATTAAATATCTATTGTGCATATAAATATTATATATGTACATATGTATATATAAGCAAAACCCGCGACTTCGCTCCCGACTCCATGTTGGTATTGTGGCTAGCATGTAAAGCTACAAAACTTAACAAATTAGGGGTCTGGCTAAGAAATGTTATTGGGGTTTTCCGTTCAAATATTGGGCAGACTGGATAGCCAGGTGTTAGTTCTATACCTTTGTGCCTTGAAGGGTATATAAAGCAGTCGCTCCTGTGTCTTACCTAAGACAATAAAAGTGAAAAGAATGGAGAGTTAAATTTTGTTTCCATTTATTTTCCAATACATAAATGGACTTAGAAAGATTGTCCACTGTAACTAAAATCGGTTAGGAATCCTTCATTTATTACCTACTAGCGACTTAGATACATTTTAATTTTTTTGAGAGGAACCTTAATTTTTTTCTACAATTAAAGTAGCCTAAGTTACTCCTTATAACTTTAACTATCTGCCAGTGAAAGTCACGTCAGAATCAGTCCAGCCATTTCGGAGATTAGCCGGAACAAACAGACAGGCAGATATATATAAAAAATTAAAAATTGTGTTTTTCTTAGAAGTATATATAATTTCATATACATTTAGTAAAAAGCTTTTGATTCAACATTACAAAAAGACACTTAGATTTTATTTATCTATTCTTCTATGCATAGTTACAAAACAGCTGATTAAAAACTAGTCTTTCCATCCGCCCGCAACCTATTTTTAATTCCACACCTTTACCCGCTATGTATTTTTAATTAGGCCACAACTGCCTATACTTTGAATCTAGCTTTATATGAGAGCTTCATGTTTAAATCTACGTTGTTTAACTAAATTAAATGAAAATTATTTGCATTTTAACTCAATCTTTATATTTCCAATACATAAATCAAATAGACTAATAATATAAAACATCCCCTGATTTTGAAAAGACCTTTACCATATTTAACGGTCATCTTTAAAAAATTATGTACAAATTGGTGGAAAATATAACTTTCACTTATGGTCAACTCCTGAGTCGCAAGTCACTGAATAAACATAATTTAATTAATTATAACAATGTTTTTCTCTAACGGAATCTTTTTCCATCTCACTGATCACTTTGAAGTTTTAATGGCTACGATGAACTAGCACCATCAAAGTAAAGTTAAATTATAGTTTTAAGCTTAGTCTTTAAGGCTTTATGTCAGTCATTTTGTACAGATACAATATTTAATAAAGTATTGACCATATTAATATTTGTTGTTTCTTTAATATTAAGGAATTTAAGGGTTAAATTTAAAATCTTCGCAATGGACAATATTTTGTGTAAAAAATATAAACAATAGTTATTAATTATAAATTCCGCTTGTATTCAGCCGTTTTTAACGTCCCACTGCTGGCCACGGGCCTCCCTTTAATTTAATACGAGGGGGATCAGGTTATAGTCCACCATGTGCGGGTTGGCGGACTTTACATGTCTTTCGAAAACTTGCTAGGTTATCTTAGACATGCAGGTTTCCTCACAATGTTTTCCTTCACCGTAAGGCAAGTGGTAATCATGTTTGAAATGATTCGCACATGAAAATATCAGTGGTGCGAGACCCGGGATTTGAACCCGCTTCGCTTGTTTTCCCGAGCGAGCGCGTTACCACTATATAGATATATATATTTTGCCGCTTATTTGTAGTTGTTTTTTTTGCCAATAGTATAAAATGTTTAAATGGGACTGATATTGTTGCATAGTTAATAGGGTGTAACGTTACACTTTTCCACTAAACGGTATCAATCAATATCAACAAAAATATACACCAAAAATAATAATTCAAAATGGCACGTCTGAAACATGCTTAACCCAACTTAAGACAATTGTCAAAGTGGGACAATTAACGACATGAACAATTAATTTAAAAATAATTAATAAAGGTGAATGAGGAACAAAATATTCTCCAGACAAGAATTAAAATTACTTAAAAATATACGAATACTAGAATGTTATTTATTTATGCATATAAAAAGCACGGCAGTCAGTCTACAGTTCAGTTGAATATCAGAGTTAGATTGTTTTTCGGAGTTAATTTAATAAAATTGACGATTTAAAAGTGCTTATAATAAGTCTATTGGAATAAAGTTTCATTTGATTTCATTAAATAAAGAATATGAAAAAGTTTATAAGCGAAAATCTAAAATTTAAAGTTTTTATTGTCTAAACACAAATTCGAACTTACGGGCGTTTAATTTTGTCATCCAAAAAGCAATCAACACAAGAATTTTTAAATAAGCGTACAATTTCAAATTGTGCACTTATTTTTGAGAAAACTTTTGGTACGCTTATTATGTATTTTAAAGTTTTGTATATGAATGACTAGCGGCTCACCTTCGCTTCTTTTGTGTTCATTTTTAGCTTGCTTCCCAATGAAGTTTCATCCCCATTTTCACCCCTTCAAGGGGTGATTTCCGAGGTAAAAATATCCTATATCCTTCCCAGGGTCTCAAACTATCTTCTTACCAAATTTCATCTAAATCGGTTCAGTAGATACAGAATACCCTTACAACTTCACAAACTGACAAACTTTACCTCTTTATAATATTAGTGTAGATGACAGCATTACAAAAGTTTCCAAGATTGATTTTAAATTATATCTGAAAATGTTCAATCAATTCTATTCTACGATTGTTTCAATAGAATCTGAACAACGGTATCAGTTTCACTATTTGAGTTTGCATAAAGATAAACGAAAAGTTTTCTCACTTGAGCTTTGCAACGAATCTTGGTACTTCATATCTTTTCTAATGAATTCATAATACATGAAATCATATTTGCCAATCAATTTAATCTTTTTCAGATATTACCTGAATATTATATATATATATATATATATATACTATATAGTATATACATATGTGTATACATAACATGTATTATATTGTACATAATATTTTTTATATATTACGTTCATTTAATTATTTTTTCTTAACATATCGTCGCCAAAGTAAATAGAAATTATGGAGAAATAACACCTATTTCTTTATTTTTTAACAGTAATGAGTCTCTAAACATATCAAGAGTAAGTAATAAAAAATCTTACAGCAATTTCACATAATTAATTGCTCTATAGTAGAAATATATATCTATACTAATATTATAAACTGGTAAAATTTGTGAGTTTGTGAGATTGTGAGTTTGTGACATTGTAGGGGGTAATCTCTGGATCTACTGAACCGATTTATTTGAAATTTGATAAAAAGAAAGTTTAAGACCCTGTGAAGGACATAGGATGCTTTTTATTCCGGAAATCATCCCTTAAGTGGTGAAATTTGTATTGGGATACAAGCTAGGGACGAACCAAAGCGAAGCGAAGGTGAGTCGCCAGTTATATATAAATGTAGTAGCTACATACATATTTTAAAACCCCTTTTTTGCAGTTTTATAAAATTTCAAACAATTAAAAGAAAATTTTGAACTTTCTATCAATCTTATCATTCCAATTGAATTCAAACACTTAGAAGTTTTATTGGTATACATAGAACTTTGAGTGCTTGCTCAAGTTTGTTATGAATATTACATTATATTTATTTTTACTTCGTTATTATTGGCTTCTTGTTTAATTTGAAGGCAATTTAAGTAATTACGTGCTGATATTTTTCTTGATAGTTACATAATTCATGGTTTCTACACCTTGAAATGCCTCGGCCTCGCCGATGAGGACGCGAACACACGATCTACGTGGCGTCGCATGATAAGGAAAACCGATCCCGCGTAACGGGATAAGGCAAAGAATAAGAGTGTGTACACTTCACCTACTTGTCAATAAAAGGCCACTTTTTACATATCGCCTTACATAAATACACATATATGTGAAAACCATGGGATATTAACTATATCTATACTAATATTATAAAGAGGTAAAGTTTGTGATTTTGTAGGGGGTAATCTATGGATCTACTGCCTCGATTTAGATGAAATTTGGTAAGAAGATAATTTGAGACCCTTGGAAAGACATAGGATACTTTTTATCCCGGAAATCATCTCTTAAGGGGGTGAAAATGGGGATGACAGTTGTATTGGGAAGCAAGCAAGGGACGAACCCGAACGAAGCTAGGGTGAGTCGCTAGTAAATAAATATAAGTAAACGCAAACGGATCTGTAACAAAAAAATAGTGGTGAACACAAATACACTCTTTCAAAACTTTGCAATGATATATAATAATATACACGTATCTATTTCTACGTCGTCTATTTAAAGCCTTCAATTTGCATTGTTATTTACCGGATGACTTGCCCGAAGGGTGGCCGGTCAAGCGGAAGTTTCTATAGTCTTTGTATCTTTGTTTTTGATATTACTTACATATATATTATACTGATATCTCAAAGTAAGCTTCTCCATTGGTCGAATAGATAAGATATATGACTTCAAAATATTTATTCATTTATAAAAGTAGGAACATGCATAACAAAAACAACTTAACGATAATAGCTGCATTAGTATGAAATTGTGTCGCAGTTATTAGCGAACGCCTTACAAGCATCGTAAAAGATAAAAAACTTAATGATACACATATTAACAAAAGTAAGTACAGCAAAATATCCAATATCTAATTAAACATACAAAAATACCATGACAAGAACAAAATTAAAAACAAACGATAAAAAAAAGAAAGGAGTTATGATGACATATGAGGTTTTAGGTTCTAGCCTCGGTCAGGCCAAAAGTATTTTTTTATTTTTAGTAGTAATTGTTGAACATATGTTGTGCACTATGCGATGCAAGCCTTACTCTACCACAGAACAACAAACTTCATTTACATGTACTTGACATTATATGTTATTGATGACACATTTGGCTCAGTTTGTAGTAATCCTGCTTGCTGTGCCAGCGGTCGCGGGTTCTAGTCCCGCTGGGGGTATTAATTTGTGTGATGAGCACGAATGTTTGTACTCCCACCATGGGTGTTTATATTTATAATATTATAATATGTATGTATA